TCACCGTGTAAGGCCCTGCGAGGGCTAGGAGAGGACGGGAGGCGCGGGCTGGGTGGGCCCCGGTACCCCTCGGAGTCGTCCTTCCTTGAACCCCTGTCTCCGGTGACTGGCGCGGGATGGGGGCCTTGTGGAAACGCCAGCGACCAGGAAGTGAGAACTTGCTCTGTTGCCGTTTGTTTAGGACTCCCAAGTGGGGACAGACACTGTCTTCCTTCCCTCCCACAGCCCTGTAGCAGGCCCCACGGCCCTGGGGATGTGTGGGATCCCAGCAGGAAGGATGGTCTGCTTTATGGTCTGCCCAGGGATGGAAGTGCATGTATATTTTTGGGATCCATCCAGGTAAACTGCCCCTCTCCCCCGTTATTCTTTGGGACTATGCTTTACAGTCTGTTGACATATGGCTCAGAGGTAAGATCAGGGATGTGAGACCCCACTGGCAATTGATAAATAAGGTTCACCGTCTTGTTTTTGACACATACCCACAGGGCTTCAGAGTTCCCTAAGAGTACATTTCTGCAGAACTAATTAAGTCTCTGCCATTATATATAATAGCAATATATAGGTGGACATAAAAATAGGCAGAAAGATACATGTTTGCAACGAATCACAAGTCCTGAGTGTCCTGTAATCGTTCTGCTTAGGGGCACGGACTCTAGGTTGGCTTCTTGTTTGATAAGGGTTCCTGTAAGGCTTATTGGCACCATCAAAAGTCCAATATTCAAACACTACGGGATGAAAGCACCCTGAAAGGTCATGACTAATAAAGGAATGTGTAGACTTGAAGCAAATAATGAGCTGTCCGGAAGGAGGAAGTTTTATAAGTTTTGCAACATTTCTCTGATAAGTCCGGAGTTGGGGTATCGATACTCCTTCGCAGCTGGTATCTCTGGTTAAAAGTCACAGCTCACACTTCCTGTACTTGCATGTCGAGTTATCACTGATATAAAAAGGGGGCGAGCCTGAAGATGTCTGGAGCACTCTTCATTGTGTTTTGATGTAGGGTGAGTGGGATGTGCTGTGAATAAGTCAGTGAAACAGTGAGACTTCTCATCCGATTGTCAGCAGAGCCCTTGCATTTCTCAGTGTTGTTGAGAGCAGTCATACTGACTAGCCATGTTGTTGTTTGGATATGCTTATGTAATGCTTTGGTTTCTTAGCATCTGTTAAGTGTGTATTTAGGTGACTTAACAGGGTAAAAAGACTGCATAATCATTGTCCCAGGACCTGGGATAAGGAGATGGGACTTGCACCATAATAACAGCTCTGTTTTAACTGTCATCACACGTTTAATTAAGGTATATAGCCAATAGTGAATAATACAACTTAAGTGTATATCTCAGTGTTTTTACTATCATAACCTGATATTTAATTTTTAGTTTGACTCTTAGGACTTTTTTCTTCTTGTTTTAAATGTAAAGAAACAAAAAGCCCACGGACTCAGTGGCACTTGTCTAATACCAACACTCAGGAGGCAGAGGCAGGTAGATCTGTGAGTTATAGGCCAGCCAGGGCTGTATAGAGAGACACTGGCTCAAAGGGATTTCCAAACTTTTTCATGTTATCTGTGATTGTCCTTAAAGTCCTCATGTCTAATCAGAGCTGGCAGAATTTTATTTACAAAGGTTCAGCCAGGGCTGGGGAAGAAACTCAGTGGTATAGAGTGCTTGCCCTGGGTTCAGAACAGCACAACAGAAAGAAAGGTTCAAGTACAGTTGTAATGTCTCTTCAAGAAGAAAAGCCAAACACTTTGTTGGGAAGTAGATAGGCAAAGTGCTCTGATGGTCAGTAAATTTAAGTTGTAGCCAACTATTTGGAGTGGTTAACAGAGTGGAAAACAATTATTAGTGGTTTTTCATCTTATCATCTGTTAGAATCACCTGGCATTGAGCTTAATAAGCATTAGCCTCTTTATTGTTATCAGTATTGTAAATAAGTACTGCCATTTGCAAGTCTAACAGTGATTCATTTAGTCTAGTTTGTCTGCCCATTAAAATCATCTGCAGAGCCCCTGCTTTTGCTCCATCCCTTCTCCAGGCCATCAGTCCACACATGAATGAGACTCTGGTGCATGATGGGGTTAGGGGAGGGTCTTGTAGGTGGTTCTGATTTGTAGCCAGAACTGTGCTCCAGACACTGGTGATGGTGGTGTTTGCACACAGTAGCAGCGCTCTGGTGCATGATGGGGTTAGGGGAGGGTGTTGTAGGTGGTTCTGATTTGTAGCCAGGAACTGTGCTCCAGACACTGGTGATGGTGGTGTTTGCACACAGTAGCAGCAAGCCTTCATATGTTTGTGATCTTCCTCAGGCACTTCTGGTAGCCTGGTTATAACCGTCTTCCGCTGCTTATATAAATTACCCATCTGTGTCTCTTCAGTTCACGTGATGCTAGCTAGGTTAAGGATTAAGTGAGATAATGTATGCAAAGAGTGCACCAGTGTGTTGCTGTGCTCAGGGAATACTAGCCTTTATTAATTATTACCCTCCTCAGGTAGTTTCTACTTTGAGAAAGATTTGTATAAGATACAACATTAAGAAGTCAGCACTGGGGCTGGAGAGATGGCTCAGTGGTTAAGAGCACTGACTGCTCTTCTAGAGGACTTGGGTTCAGCTCCCAGCACCCACATGGCAGCTTACAACTGCCTATAATTTCAGTTCTAGGGTACCCAACACCTTCACACAGGCATACATCCAGGCAAAACACATACAGGCAAAACATCAATACACATGAAATAAAAATAAATAATTAAAAAAA